TGTTATTTTTCAGGTTTTGGATTAATGCTAATTTTCCAGGTGCAATAGGAGCTACAGATGGCACACATATAGCGATTTTCCCACCTGAAAAAAACAGGGAACATTTATATATCAACAGAAAATTATATCATTCTTTGAATGTCATGATTGTAAGTATTTATATATAGTATTTACATAAACTATTGTATTAAATGCTAGGTATAACCTGCTCAAAATTTTCAATGTTTTTTTCTAGAAGAGTAATATTTACGTAATGAATGGATACATTTATGTGTTTATTATTGTTAATTAGGTTAGTGATTACTATGGTAAAATATTAGCTGTGAAAACAAATCATGGTGGTCGTACACATGACGCCAGAGTCTGGAGTTCCTCTCAGTTATCAAGACATATGTTAAGAGAATATGAGAATGGAAGACGAAATGCCTGGTTAATAGGTATGCATAATATAAAAATATTTAATTTTTATATTTAAAGTTTGAAGTTATATTTAAATATATCATATTGTACGATTGAGTGTGTAAGATATATACATATGTAGGATGATATATTATATGTAATATATCTTACGTCTTACTATATTTACAATTACGTAATCGTACGTATTAGTAAAAGTTACTATTCTTTCATTTACTTTCATTTACTATATGTAAATCTAAATACGTATATACTTTCTTTATGTCCACAAGCATACATTTTGGCATTTAACATTGTTTTATATGTAAAACTAGGCTACTTGATAATATACAAAATATATTAATATACTTGTAATATATCTATAAATAGAAATACCACTTGATAATATACAAAATAATGTTTTTCACTAGACTTTTATAAAAGCATTTATGCATTATATGTCATCATTTTAATTTTATATGTCTAGGAGATTCTGGATATCCCTTGTTGCCATTTTTAATGACGCCTAAATTAAATCAGCCACCGAGATCTCCAGGTGCATCATATACAGATAGTCATGTTAGAGCGCGATGTTCAATAGAAAAAACAATAGGAGAATTAAAAGGCAGATGGAGATGTTTACGAAAAGAAAGAGCTTTGCATTATGCACCAGAATTTTCAGGTAATAATATTTTATTGTGTTTCTTTCTTATGATATTATATTTTAAGTATATTTTATGTCAACATTTTACAATTTATTTTAGCACGTATAGTAAATGCAACATGTGTACTGCACAACATTGCTAAGCACTATAATGTTCCAACAAATGAAATATATATAGAAGATGATATAGAGATTGAAGAGATAGAAATAGAGAACAATGTTAATATGCGTGCAAGAGGGAATGCTGTTCGAGAAACATTGATACAACAATATTTTACATAAAACTTTTATTGTATGAAAATAAAATAAACTGTTATCTATGGTAATGCATATTTATTTAGCATTTATTTATACATGTATAAAACGTTTATTTATATTAAAAAATAAATTCTTTTAAACATTGAACATAAACGCATTAAAATTATGCTAAATATTAAAAAATGTAAAGAGAAATTGCACGATACATAAATATTAAGGTACAAAATCCTAAATAAAAATATCTAATATCCTAAGCAAACGAACTTATAAGATCTTTAAATATTAGATGACTATATATTTTTCTATTTTTGACATATTAAATTCTATATTTTTAACATAAAATTTTATACTTCTAACATATTACAACAGAATTCATGCATAAATTATAATATAATTTTAATAAAACGAAACATTAAACAAAAAAATTATACATTACTTAATAAATGTATAAAGTAGAATTTGTTGTACACTAGATACATGTTATATAGCAAGTATAGCTATTACATCAAGTACTTGACAAAACCAAATAACTATAATAAAATAAAGGTTTTAATGCAAATTTTTTCATTATTTGATGATAAACTGCTTAAGTATATGGTTATAATGTTTCAGATGTTTCCCACGATTGTATAGATGTTTTTATATCTTTGAGTTCACTTAACATATCATGCTGCATTTTTAATCCTATTTTTAGAAGCTTTACTTGTTTTTTCTTAAGTTTGTATTTTTTTTGCTGTATCTTTAGCATTTGATGAGATAATTCACTCATTGAGTTTTCTAAGTATCAATAAATTAAATAAAGATTATTATGAAACATTAAGAAACAATTTATTTTATATTACTTTTATATTACTTACCTTTATTATTACCTTTGGTTATATTTTTGTTTTGAATTGTTTCATTTCTTTCTTTATTAATAATATATTTTCCTTTTTGTTGTTTTAATATGTTCGATGATCCATTTTCTACATTATAAATTTCTGTATGCAATCGTTCAATTTGTGGTTCAATTGTTACTGTATCTTCCGTATTCCTTTCACAGTCGTTTAATACAGATTCTTCAATGTTTATGTAATTTTCAGGATCATTTTGTAAACTAGTAGTTGCGATATTTATACCACCTTCAGGAATATTTAATAAACCAGCTGATTCAGGCGTCAAAAGTTCTAAAACTTCTTCCTCGAAGTTGGAAAAAATTATTTTAGAAGGAGGACCACCTCCTGTTCCTTCTATATGGCTGCGTCTTTTGGATTCTTTTTTTAATATATAAGCTTTTTTATATCTTTCCATGTCTACAAGATGATATAGGATATGATCAATTTGATTTTATTAGGTTACCTTAAATTTCGTGTTAAAACATCAAAAGATAACTATGTATTAAACCTTTGCCCATTTCTTTCCATTTTTTTGGGGTCCTTCTGCAGCAGCGTTAATGATATTCGCGATATTATCCTAACTTTCAACCTAAAAATTAAGTTTTGTTATATTTTATTTTCTATCTATACAATATTTTCGTTTAACTTATCATTTTTCGTCGACTTTCCGATTTTCTGTTTATTCGACCTCTTACTAAATCAGGATTTTCTTTCAAATGTGATAATAACATTTCCTTCTGTTTAATTGTTACATTCATTATTATTGCTTGTTTATCCGTTTACTCTGTCTATAAATGATTTAAAAAATCGAGAATTCGCGGTTTATAATTCTGATAATATTAGTAATTTTTAATCTATACAGTTATTTCCCTTTTTTGGTGATTTTACTTTCCACGCATTTAGCTATAAAATCGCACTGTGATTCGTGGAAAAGTTCACGTGAAATCACTAAGTGAAAAGTGAAAAGCGAAAAGTTCCACTGGAAATTACATGATTGCTGCCCAGGAAACAAAAAGTTTGACGATGAATGAAATGTCAATGCAAATGTTGAAACTTCAACAAGAGAAATTAGCAATAAAAAATAAGGAATTACAATTACAGAAGAAATTAATTGTTATTCAAAAAGATATTCTTAATGAGATAAAAGACTTAAACACAAATATTCGAGGTAATTATCTGGAACATTAAAGTAACACAAGGCAGTAATAACTCTTTATTATATTTCTTTATAATTTGTGAATTGTATAACAAAATATATTATTTTCTTGTTAATTCTTTCCAACTGTTAGTTATTATAATTTTTATTTTATATAGTTGAAATAAAAATGTGATATAGTTGACATATATCTAGTATTATATAATATAATTGAAATATGAAAATGTGATATCAAATATTGTGATAAAAAGCCAAAGTGTATGTTACAGTTTAATGACATTGTAAAAAGACAGTACAACAATATTGAATATGTAATGTGTTCCCAATACATAAATAAACAATGCATTATATGAAATAATGTATTAGTGAAGCTTTTTAATTCATAAAATATAAAATTATAATAATAATGAAATATATAAATAAGAATAAATATTCACTTTTAATTCCATAGGAATTGCAGTTGATCGCACTGCAGGCTGAATCCATTCTCTTAGATTTTCACAGAGGACTCGTGTTGCTTCTTTTACTGCCTTTCAGGCAGATCAAAAGGATCACTAACGTCACGTAAACGTTTTCTTAATATTCGAAGCTTTCGCCTATCTGCATGCTCTTCCTCTTCATTCGCAGCATTTACGGCCAAAAGCCACGCGATATCCATATCAAATTTTCATGAGTTTCGAAAAATGAGTTAGTTTCATATCAATTCACTAAAAAATAACCAAAATTTCACATTTTAGGCACCTCGTTACTTGCCGAAATATTTCGCGTGAACTATTTCACATTTTATAGCAGTCAAAAGTTACTTACAGCGTTTTCGGCCCGATCGGGTTTGCACCAACCTGGGTTGGATTAATCTTTCCTATTGGTTGACGTCACCCGCTCTACCAATAGGAGAGCACAAAACGCTATTAATCCAACCCAGGTTGGTGCAAACCTGGCCGGGCCGAAAACGCTATTAATCGCTCATTCGTTACATTCATGTGAATTTATTCACTTTTTGTATCTTCATTCCTAGGGGAAAACTTACATAATCGATACCCAGCAGTATATAAACATATAATCAAAAATATCAAGCTCTATTGTATATAATGTTTTTTTTGCAAAGCAATAAAAACATTCTAATATTGACCTGTCTTCATTGTTTTTATATAATTATCTATGAAATATGTCCATACATCCTTCTTTTGTAACAAATTAGTTTAAAATAAGAAAAATGTTGGCAGACCTGCCGACAAGAGCGATCCGCACGTAAAAGGGACTGCGGGCAGCGCCCTCGTTCGTTCACCTTCGGTTACTTCTCGATACAATGTTCACGCGTACACTCGTTTCGGTATCTCTCGTAACTGTACTGGAATAAATAAACGTCTTCCTATTTGTGAATCTGAGTCGAATACGCGTAAGGGCCAGCGCACAATGGAGGAACAGGAATTAGATATTAAGATTTCAACCCATCAGGGGCTCTATTCTTGAAAAGAAACGTATACGAAAGTCTAGGGAAATACTATAGTATACGTAACATATACTGTAGCATTACCCTAGACTTTCGTATACGTTTTTTTTTCAAGAATAGAGCCCCTGAAACTGATTACATCGGAATACACGGTTTCTAATAGGTTGAAATTTTAATATCTAATTCTTGTTCCTCTATTGTGCGCAGGCCCTAACTTTCGTTCCCTACCTCTAAGGGTGCCGTCACATGCGGCGTAATTTGCGTAAGCGTAACTTGCGCCGACCAATCATATCATTTCACTTGAACATCAGTTTCTGTCTAGTCATTTTATGCTTTTTACGCTATTTTGTTGTTACGCCGAAACATGATAGAACCACCATGCATCGAATCTAATTTCTGGCTCATTTTAGCTTATTCTGTCTGAAAAAATACACAAGGGTTTCGATTTTGCAACAGTACAATTATGAAAGTCGTGCGCCCCTTTGCATCGCGTGAAAAGTCGAACCCCATGTGGAACAGTATAATTATAGACCTCATTTTGCCTCTGTGACAGATTTTCTAACCTCAATAGTCATCAACTTTAACGCTTAATATCTAAAGGCCCGTCTACAATACACGGAGTAAGAAGTAAGAGTAAGAAATTGACCAATCACAGTCGATTATTCTTCTCACATTCGACCTCATTTTGCCTCTGTGACAGATTTCCTAACCTCAATAGTCATCAACTTTAACGCTTAATATCTCAGATCACAAGGCAGAACGACGTTTTTTTTGCCAGATTCTTTTGTTTCATGCAAAAACGCGTTGAATAAACCTAAGAGTGGTCTCACAAAATTTTCCAATTTTAATAATTTATTCGATCATCTGCTCATATATACGCGATGGAAAGGTGCCAGTTCCCCATGAGGCGTACTTTTCGAGTTGCGTAGGTTACGAAAATCAATCATAAATTCATTAAGCATTTCTGTTAGAGTGTACAACAGAAATTCTAATCAGTAATTGGTTGCATTAGTTCCGTATTTCTCTAATCTTCCGCGAAATACGCCCAATGTGAATGCCGGCTTTCAGAATGGCGTATTCTAGTAAATAAAAAATAACGTATTCTAGTAAATTACTAAAATACGCAGGTGGGTGGCACTCAGTTGGACACGGCTCAATTGAACACGAGCCACTCACAGCGCTTGAGACTACAAAGCTCCTAAGCACTGGTCGCTGTGATTGGTGGTGTCCAATCGAGCCGTGGTCAATCGGGATCACCCCAGGCGGCTGAACATGAAGCCACATCTGTGCGAGAGAGAAAGGTAGTAAGGGATAAATGTTCGCAATGCTCATGCGCAGCACCGTCATATGTGTGAATTGTGCAATTGGTTTAGTGTTTTAACACATTCGTACATTACACAGATGTGTAAAACGTGATGCTGCGCATGCGCATTGGTAACATTTATCCCTTACTACCTTTCTCTCTCGCACAGATGTTTGCATCAGCGCGAGCCATGGGAAGTATAGGCAATGCCCGTTCCATTTATATACGTTCTAAGTTGTA